CAATTTGGTGGAAAAAAATCTCATTTTGATCTTCTGATAAAAATTGCAGTTATGATTTAAAATTAATTTAAAAACACTCCACATTTGCTGTGCTTGTAGGGATGCACAATTTGACATTTTAAAAATGTCAAACTGTGCAGAAGACATTCACAAAGAGGTTATTATATAAGTGAATGCAAAATTGTTGTATATTTATATATTACAAGAATAAAGTATACCCAACAGATATATCATACATTGCTACACTGTTGTCAATGAACAATGCCTTTTTGACAGCAAGATTTTGCAGAAATTTAGCTAATGTGACTGCACCTTATACACAACTGTTTGTGGTAATCACACGAAAACGAAGGTAAATGCACAAATGAACAGAAAGATATAATCAACTCAGAAACTATGGCAACTAAAGATTAGCAGGAACTAGAACAAAGGAAAAAGGAAGCTGAATAGAAGCATGACTAAAAGTCCATGTAAAGAAAACTAAATGAAACACGTCTGACGATGCATGGCACACTAAACGGGGAAATGATGAGGGGATTTTCAGTGACTCTTTCTGCAAGTTCCGTCATTACGCCACTAGGTGGCGACACGTGACTGTCTTTACGGATGAGTCAGCAAATAATTTTATTCCAGTATTACTTTAATAACGCTGATTCATTCTGAGACAAAGCAAATGTGCATTATGCTTGGTGTTCTGCGGTTCTGCTTGCTTGGCAGTCCAAAAACAGACAAAGTCGCCGGCAGTGTTGTGTCTAAAATGTAAGCTTTTTAGTGTTAACTTCTTATATTGTACTGTTATATAAAAACAGTATCACACTGCCTCATTGTTACACCGATAACTTCTCAGAAACTGACCAAGCCGTTGGTTTGACAGATAAGAGTGTTTTTGGGCCACTTCTTGATTTTTCCGTATACTTGTCCATTAAACTTAAATATATAAACAACTGCATATGCAAAATGTGTTGTTATTTTAGCTTGTTTGTTGTTATTATATTTCTTTGATGTGTAATTACATGTCTTGGCCTGTCTTATTTTGCGAGTACTAAATTTGGTTACACTTTATTTTACATTTACATTTAGTCATTTAGCAGACGCTTTTATCCAAAGCGACTTACAAATGAGGACAATAAAAGCAATCAAAACTAACAAAAGAGCAACAATATATAAGTGCTCAATATATAAGTATATATATATATATTATACGCACACACACATACACACACACACACAAAGAAAAACAAGTAGATTGAATAGAACAAATAGAAAGCTAGTGTTTGTTTGGAAGGTTTGGCAACCTCCCAAACTACATGTAGGCTACTTATTATATGGTCAGAGTTAGGATTTGGGTTTGGCTTAGGGTTACTTGGATGTAATTATGCATAATTATTTGTTAGGCTTCTTATTATATGGTCAGGGTTAGGATTTGGGTTTGGCTTAGGGTTACTTGGATGTAATTATGCATAATTATTTGTTATTAGTAAGTGCATGTAACGTGTAACACGGACACCTTAAAATAAATTCACTAAATCTGAAATATATATATATATACATATATATATATATATATTTATACATATATATATATATATATATACAACGTGATCTCATGATAATTCGTATGTATTTTACGTAAAATGTGGTTCTATAAAACGTACAATGCTGACATATTTTCAGCATTTAAACGTACAAAACTGACGCATTGACGACACCATGTTCCGTTCACTTTTCCCTATTCGCCGCACACCAGCAACCACTCCTCCGTTATTGAAAGACAAACAAGCATGTTTGTGTGATCATTCTCTGGGGGAATACCCATTATACAGTCCACACAATTGATGCCTTTAGGACCAATAGTTTTTGAGAAAAGTGGGGAAAAGTACCTCCTCCGCCAGTGTATGGAAAATGATAAGGGTTAACGGTGTTCCGTACAGGCTTATAATGGTGTTCCATACAGGGCGCATAATTTGATTTTATCGACGAAAATGGCCATTTAACTGATCAACTGTGAGCTGTTTATTTATCTTAACTGAAGAAAGCATTATTTAAATGAATAAGAAAGATGAGTACCTTTTTATTTGATTAAAATGTAAGTTAATTTCTGCTTTAATTAAAGGACCATGCGAAGTTAGGCATGATTGTGTCATGATATTAATTATGGCATGTGAGTTAAGCATGAACCATGTGAAACGTTAGTGAATAACATTTCCATATCTTTCTAAAGACAATATGAATATAAACATCGTCACTGCATGCAGGATGATGAGCAAACAGCATCTGTGCTGACAGATATGATGCCTCTGCTGCCTGTCTCAGGTGAGAGTGGCGCTAAGTGGTCATCGCTCGCAATCGAAGTTTAAAAATTCCCATTTCCAAGCATTTATTCAACAAAAGGTAATATATTTAACAATTTGTGATAACATAATATTCATTTCATAAAGGCTGTAGTACTGTGAGAAACATATATTAAATAGAAATGTAAATTTTCGCTGCTCTAGTAGTCTCCCCACCCAAGCTGCAGTCTTGAAGTGTAGCTTGCCCACCGTCCATTTTCAAGCGCAGTGGGCGCACCTAGCAAACTTACTGAAATCACACTGAAACAAACGGCGGGTGGGTCTCTGTCTTGGTCGGGGGTGAAAGAGGGAGAAATAAGGATGACACAGATATATAGTTTATGCACGACCTGGAAGTATTTATTCAGCGATCGGTGCTAAAACGTAATCTGTACGGAACACCGTTGAGTACAGAACATGGTTAGTCTATGTTAAAATTAATCCTTATGAATATTGAAATTGCAGCATTAATTTTATAGTTGTTTTTAGTTGTCATATCAATTACCAATTGCATTATTAAATTGTTTATACTCCTTTACTTAATAATATGAAATGATAACATTTTGTTTTGTTGTGATTTCTGCTTCCAGCTCGTTTCCAATAATAGGCCTATGTAATGTTAAACAAGACTTCACTTTAAACCTTAAAATAAATAACATTTCTGCAATCGTTTAACCTTTACTTGTCATGCAATGTTTACTTTGATTACCATGAAAAGCAATAGGCGCAAAAAAAGGCAAAATGCGTTTTCTCCGACATGCTGTGACTGACAATAGAAGTATATGGTTTTCAATTGCATTATTAAATTGTTTATACTCCTTTACTTAATAATATGAAATTATAACATTTTGTTTTGTTGTGATTTCTGCTTCCAGCTCGTTTCCAATAATAGGCCTATGTAATGTTAAACAAGACTTCACTTTAAACCTTAAAATAAATAACATTTCTGCAATCGTTTAACCTTTACTTGTCATGCAATGTTTACTTTGATTACCATGAAAAGCAATAGGCGCAAAAAAAGGCAAAATGCGTTTTCTCCGACATGCTGTGACTGACAATAGAAGTATAAAATACACCAAAAACGCAACATAAAAATTACGAAATGAAACAATTTTATTAGTGCGCTGTAATCCAAATCTTCTGAATCCATACGACTGTGAGGAACAAATCCAAATCCAAGCCTTTATTTGGCGATCTTCATCGTAATGCTATATTGTTACTAAAATGGTTATTTTCCTGCATATTTCGGTCAATTGTGATTTATATCCTATTATATTAGCTATAAAATGGGTATGTTAAGGTTTGGGGTAGGTTAAGGGGTATAAAAATCTAAATAGCTTATTAATAAAATGATAAAAATACATATTCGCTGTAAAATGGGTAGGTTTATGTTTGGGGTAGGTTAAGGGGTTTAAAAATCTAAATTGCTTATTAATAAAATTATAAAAATGCATATTCGCTGTAAAATGGGTAGGTTTATGTTTGGGGTAGGTTAAGGGGTTTAAAAATCTAAATTGCTTATTAATAAAATTATAAAAATGCATATTCGCTGTAAAATGGGTAGGTTTATGTTTGGGGTAGGTTAAGGGGTTTAAAAATCTAAATTGCTTATTAATAAAATTATAAAAATGCATATTCGCTGTAAAATGGGTAGGTTAAGGTCTGGGGGTAGGTTAAAGGCAGAGTAAGTGATTTCTGGTAGCCAATGTTGATATTTGAAATCACCAAAACAAACACGCCCCTACCCCAAAAGGGTCTTGCTCCACCCCACATATATGTACGCAACCCAGGCAACGATTAGTTCTGTGAAACAAAGCAAAACCAATGTTACACTGTAACAAATCCCCGACAGAAAACTACTGCCGGGTTCTATTTATGACGTGCTGACACAAATTTCAAGTGGTTTTCAACGGTCGTTTGATCGCGTCCAGTGTAGGCAGACTTTAGCTGTTGTAGACACGGTGTTACTCACCTATTGAGAAGAAACAAAGCAACCTCGGCGTCCGATCGCAGGCCTCCGCTCCTTGAGTTCTCTCCAGCGCTGGAAAGCTAATCCGATATTTACACGGGTCCTACTTCTTGCCTTATCGTTCCGCAGACGTTTTCCTCTTTTGTTTTTTATCCACCAGCTCTATCTTTCTGTCGCTCGGCTCGGCTAATGTCCGTCCCATGCACTAAACGCACTCTCCTCCACATCAGTAGAGTAGACACGCCCCTTATTGCTGATTGGCTACAAGTTTGTTTTGCGATTCGGCCCGAATCAGTTTTCTAAAGTGTTTTTGAAAAATCACGCACCCTGCCTTTAAGGGGTCTAAAAATCTAAATATCTTATTGATAAAATGATACAAATGCATTGATACGAATATCTTAATGATATAAAAGATATGTAAATATTTTTTTAGTTTTTTAGCTAAAAATACGCAGCGATTTGTACATTTTAAACGTTGAAATATGTCTAAATTGTACATTTTAGCATCAATTGTAAATGTTGTATATATTTACAATTGATGTATATATTTACAATTTACAATTGTATATATATATTACAACAGCACATAACAAAATGACTAACCTAAATAAATAATACGAAGATAACAGTAAAGAAGATTCTAAAGATGAATCTCTCTTTCTCTCTGCATCTGTTCCTCTCTATCTTTTGTTCTCTCTTAGATTAACCTACAGAGGAGGATGCGGGTCACAGGAGTGATAACCCAAGGAGCCAAGCGCATCGGGAGCCCAGAATATGTTAAGTCGTACAAAGTGGCCTACAGCGATGACGGAAAGACCTGGAGGACATACAAAGTCAAGGGCACAGATGAAGATATAGTGAGACATTTTTTTAATTAGCGAAAAAGAGCCACATCAGTCACTCAGCATGTGCTTTTGCTTCCCTTCCCGTATGCATTTTCAGGCTGGATTTTGAGGGGATTGATTAGAGCTGTTGGGGTTTCAGATGACATGACATACAACGTCCATCACCTAAGATGCCGTCTTTTTTACTTTTAGTGACCTCTAATGACTTTGAGTAGTTGCTATTTTGATCATTTAAGAAAATGTTTTATTATTATGAAAATGTATTAATATTAATATTTAGTATTATACATTATTGTTCGAAACAACAGTGATAATGTCATCTAAATATGTACATATCAAGTTGTGTTCAGTATTCTCTTTTAAATCTATTTTGCATACGTAATTGTGATTGGTTCTATTTTTTATTTAATGTCATGTGTTCAGAACCTAAGGTTACTTAAAACTTAAAACATTTCTACTTTTGCTATCTTGCAAGCACTGATATTTCCTTTGAGAAATGCAAACCTAGTCCAGTTTAATCTAGTTTGGACCTTTTTGACTTCAAACATTTTTTTCTCAAATTACTTCGATTTGCTGTTAGTAAATACTCTTTTGATTAAAAACCAGTATAATAAATTGGGGTGAGTGTGATGGAGCAGCGTTGACCTTCTCTGTGCTCTCTTGTCTTGTGAAATCTCCCCACTTTCTCCCTCCAGATCTTCCGTGGGAATATTGATAACAACACTCCATTTGCCAACTCCTTCACCCCTCCTATCGAGGCTCAGTATGTGAGGATCTACCCGCAGGTGTGCAGGAGACACTGCACTCTTCGCATGGAGCTCCTGGGTTGTGAGCTCACGGGTGAGTCACTTCAATAGACAGCATACATCATTCTGAGATAATGTCCAAAGGGGACTTTAGAAGTGTGTTATACCTCTGAAACATTGTCCAGGCTGTCAATAAAGCACAACACAACATGGATGAAGCCAGTTCTTTTTTATCCTAGCAAGTTCAGGGGATTTATTTTACACAGCTCAACAATAAGGAATTTTTTTCCTTCTTCTTCTTCTGTTGGTCAGATTGTGCCAGTAGTTCGAATTTGTTCTTGCCCTGCCAATGTTTTCACTGTCCCACAACAAAATTATCAATTATTTATGCTTTTTGAAATTTGACAAATATTTTATACCAAAAATTGACAAATGATTTATTCAGATTCTATGACCCATCAGACACTAATCAGCGTACATTATTGTGTAACAGCATGCAAATTAGTTTTAGGGTAATATGGTTTTAGGCTAAGGACATGCCTTTGAATTCTTCAGGGTGTTCGGAGCCAATGGGCATGAAGTCTGGTCACATTCAGGACTACCAAATCACAGCCTCCAGCATCTTCAGAACTCTTAACATGGACATGTTCACCTGGGAACCTGGGAAAGCAAGACTGGATAAACAAGGGAAGGTCAATGCCTGGACGTCTGGACACAGTGACCAGTCCCAGTGGCTGCAGGTAGGGTTTATTATACATGTCCTCATATGCTTAGGGACAATCTAATTTTAGTATGTCTGTTATTGGCTCTGATTCAACAGAATTCTGCAGAATGCCTGTGAATGATTAAATGTAATGCTGAAATGTGTTGCAATGAAATGATCACTGCAGCACAGGGGTGTACATGATTCCTGCCATTTAGCTCCTAGAATCAAAGTTTCAATGAAATCCCAGTTGTCCCTTCTCCCTAGAGCCTCTCTTTTCAGCACGTTCACTCACTGTTCATTAAGGTAACCGATCAGCTTACCTCTGGCTTCAGGCGAGAGCTATTTGCCTTCATTCAATCCAAGCATCATATTTAACATTTAACCATATTTCACTTTAAGCCTGGCTGTAAAATTACTGGCTCAAACTTTTTTTCCTTGTAATTTAAATTCATTACTATCAATTAATTTGGCTTATTATAAAACTATGTAATATAGTTTTAATATTTCAGAAGGAGTATTTTGTGGTCACCAAGACTGCATTAAAAAAGTAATTGTTTACAGCAATATTGTATTATTATTTTAATTATTATTATTTTATTTATATATACATTTGGAACATTATACATGTCTTTTCTGTTACTTTTGATCAGTTTAACACATCCTTGCTGAATAAAAGTATTATTCTCCTTAAAAATTATTACAGACCCCAGACCATTGAACAAGGCTTTTTTTAGCTAAATGTAAATATTAAAATTATGAAAAAGAAAAAAAAATAGTGAAATGTACTGTACAAAAATGTCAAACCATTATTTGACTAAAAAATATTGTACTTAAGTTATAAAAATTTATAACATTTAAAATGTATGTAGCAAATTGCCCCAACACATTATGAATGTTAAAATGTAAAAATTTACTAGCAGCATTATCTTTTTTTTTGTCCTGCATTAATATAAATGTTCTTGTTATCTTTGATAGACAGCTGTGTAATAGATAAGGCTGTGCCGTTTTTCAGGGGACATGCACTGTTGTTCATGAGATGCAGGGAATATCATCACAGCTGAATAATTTCTAGCTCACGATGTGTTAAAAGTGATTAATATCCCTGAGATTACTGAATAAATGCTCCAGTGTAACCACAGAAATTGAGTGAATGTGAGACACAGTTGGGCGCATTTCAAACATCAGTTGCCATGATGAACTGTGAGATACTGCAGTGGTTGCCCCAATGGAATAAATATGGAATAAAATACCAGTGGCCTACAATAATGACTTTAGTCAAGTCAAGTCACCTTTATTTATGTAGTTATATATATATATATATATATATATATACTCTGTCCCTAACACAGAACCTCAACAAAGATCAAAGCTTTATTGTGATTCCTGCCATTTAGCTCCTAGAATCAAAGTTTCAACGAAATCCCAGTTGTCCCTTCTCCCTAGAGCCTCTCTTTTCAGCACGTTCACTCACTGTTCATTAAGGTAACCGATCACCTTACCTCTGGCTTCAGGCGAGAGCTATTTGCCTTCATTCAATCCAAGCATCATATTTAACATTTAACCATATTTCACTTTAAGCCTGGCTGTAAAATTACTGGCTCAAACTTTTTTTCTTGTCATTTAAATTAATTACTATCAATTAATTTGGCTTATTATAAAACTATGTAATATAGTTTTAATATTTCAGAAGGAGTATTTTGTGGTCACCAAGACTGCATTAAAAAAGTAATTGTTTACAGCAATATTGTATTATTATTTTATTTATATATAAATTTGGAACATTATACATGTCTTTTCTGTTACTTTTGATCAGTTTAACACATCCTTGCTGAATAAAAGTATTATTCTCCTTAAAAATTATTACAGACCCCAGACCATTGAACAAGGCTTTTTTAGCTAAATGTAAATATTAAAATTATGAAAAAGAAAAAAAAAATAGTGTAATGTACTGTACAAAAATGTCAAACCATTATTTGACTAAAAAATATTGTACTTAAGTTGTAAAAATGTATAACATTTAAAATGTATGTAGCAAATTGCCCCAACACATTATGAATGTTAAAATGTTAAAATTTACTAGCAGCATTATCTTTTTTTTTTTGTCCTGCATTAATATAAATGTTCTTGTTATCTTTGATAGACAGCTGTGTAATAGATAAGGCTGTGCCGTTTTTCAGGGGACATGCACTGTTGTTCATGAGATGCAGGGAATATCATCACATCTGAATAATTTCTAGCTCACGATGTGTTAAAAGTGATTAATATCCCTGAGATTACTGAATAAATGCTCCAGTGTAACCACAGAAATTGAGTGAATGTGAGACACAGTTGGGCGCATTTCAAACATCAGTTGCCATGATGAACTGTGAGATACTGCAGTGGTTGCCCCAATGGAATAAATATGGAATAAAATACCAGTGGCCTACAATAATGACTTTAGTCAAGTCAAGTCACCTTTATTTATGTAGTGATATATATATATATATAAACTTTAGGCTTAATAGATTATTGGAATTAATCAAGCTTAATGACAAATTAAGTATTCTAATTAATCAAGACAATTGCCATGCTGCAGAAGCAAGAATTACCTCACAAACTGCAGTAACGTCAGAGACATTTTGACCGAATGGAGCTCAGGGTCTGCCAGTGATGTGCTCAATCCCACTGCATCAAAATCATCAGGTTGTCAGTGTCTCAGTGGTTCAGTTGCTTTTAAGTGCATGTTTCGATTGGGAGTCATGTATTTATGTCCATTGATTTTGGTGAAAACAAAGTTGCTGTTACTCGCAGCCCTTTATTTTGAACTTTTTTAATGATCTTGGTACTTTCAGTCTGTTAAACGTTTTGGTCTGTGTATGCTGACATGTTCAGTCAAGCAGACATTTAACATGCCGCATGCACACGTCAATATTGACTAAGACTCCAAGTGAAAAGTTAATTTGCCTACATTCGGCTCCATTCGGATTAATTTGAATACTTAAGTTGGCTAAGGAACTGCATCAGATTGATGCAAACAAAGTCTTATATTGCCGGGCAGTTTGTTTTAGCGAATTCAAATACAGGCGGGAGTCAAACTGAGTCACAAACAACATTATCTTTTACATTTGTCGCAAAGTTTCCCTCCATTAACCAATCAAAAAACAAACCATGCTGTTTTTCCAGGGACTTCTAAGGTCAAACAAACCACTCACATTAAAATGCATATAAATCCCATTGACAGGTTTTGGAGCTGTTTGAATGAACCAATCACTCACCAGCCCTACAAACACACTGCAAGTCAGCTCTTTTTCCTCTGTTTGGACATACTCCACACAGCAAGAAGGCCTTTTGAAGTTTCTGTTGATTGCTTCCAAACATGCTGTCGACCAAGAGACAGTGAGGAGATGCCCATCCTCCTTCTCTTACATCTGTCTAGCCTGCCTGGGTCTATCTCTGGCTTTTTTCCTCTCGAGTTTTGAAAAATTGCCTTTTCAACTCGTTTCTCTCCCTCCTCTTTGTGTGTAATGAATCGATTTAGTGTCCTCATTTGTGGTTTCCTGTGTCTTCGCCACTACTCAAACAGAGATGTGACCTCAGTCCCACAGAGAGAACATCAGGCAGGCATGAGAAAGACCTCTTACATTCATTATGGCTGTTAAGTCTGCTCATTACGGACTATATGCATGGACAGTTTGAGAAACCTTAGCAGTGGTTTTCTTCAGTAAAGATGAGGACTAGAATTTATAGCAACTTTTATCTCAGTCAGCATTTCTCTAACCCGGGATCCATCTCAAATAGCCAGGGGGTCCGTGAAAAATTTCTGAATTGAGAACAAAAATCTTTCTGCAAAGCCTTGACAAGCAGTATGAGACGGTTCTCTTTTCCAGCAGCCTGGGTTCTGGAAGAATTTTTCCATTCATTTTCTCCATACAGACATTTCAGAACATTTTTCAATAAGTCTTGAACGAAACCTATGGCTCCAAAATTAATCACTTTACAACATCTGATTTTAAGGCAAGACAAATTTGAACAGAATTTGAACACACAAGATTGTGTACGTATGATTGACCATTCATATAATCAAATCTGCAATGATGATACAGTAGAAAACTATTGATTAAAACATATCATTGTATACCCATTTAAACTGCAGTGTTTGTGGTTAACTCTTTATTTCTGACATTTGTAGTCAACTGCACTTTTGGCATTTTAAAGAGCTAATTCAAGAGTCTGGATCTCAGTGGTGGAGTGATGCTGTACAGTAAAGTATAACAAATTGCATTAGTATGCTGTATTCTTTACAACCACACACTCAAAACCGGTATGTTAGAAGGGAAATTTCTTAGCGCCGTTACCTGATTTACATAATTCTTTTAGGGATTTGGGTGTTAAAACAGTGCAGTCTGTATGTGCAAATAAACAGAGTAATCAGCGGGCATAATTCATTCTTAGTTAATTCCCTCCTAAATCTCTTAATCGGGGAATTTAATGTACCTCCACCTTGTTTGAGAATTACAAACCTTATAGCTTTCCTATTTCCTTCCTGGCAACTGACCAAGCTTCATAGTGGCAGAGATGGGACTGAGATTAGAAGCTCTGTCCCTTTTGGAAAATGTTTGAAGATGAGTTGGTGAATATGCTTGGTTCCAGCTGGCCGAGGCTTATTAGTTAATTATACACATTAACAGGCTAAACACATAACACAGAGAGCCTGCCAGAGTGCACTTGACTCTTTTTAGAACTTTCTTATTACAGAATCATTGCAGCAATGCAAGCATATGCTAAATGTTATGCTGACCCTGCTAGTGCAGCAAAAGCTACTATAAAAACCACAGAAGAAACCACACACAAGAACCATGTTAGCTCTTTTTTTAATTTAAAATTACCTTAGAAACCAACATTTTAATTTATTTGTTTTCTTGCAAATTATAAGTATTACATATACCTCTATGTTAGACATGTTAGAAATACACTGAACAAAATTATAAACGCAACACTTTTGTTTTTGCCCCCATTTTTCATGAGCTGAACTCAAAGATCTAAGACTTTTTCTAT